TTGCCTACACCATGCGTACAGAGGGGGAGGGGGGTTCAAGCCAGTGCGTACCATACGCAAACCGAAAATATGCTCCCGTGCTAACGTCCATTATTAGTAAACTGCAACACTACACATGACACGTAGACCGGCAGCGTCTTCTGGAATTGTGGAATGCGTATGCGTACAGGGGAGTGGGTTGGAGCCACTGCGTACGCCATGCATACAAGGGGAAAGTGGGATCTGAAAAGTCGGCATTAGTGTGGCCATCCGATGCCAAAACCTTGCCAATCACGTACCGTATAACTCACTAATGGGTTGCAATGGCATGCGTTCTCTTCCTCGGCTTGTTTTGGAGTCAACATGGCGATGTAATTAATATGCGCCGTCTTCACACGCCCAAGGTCAGCCTTGCCCATCTTAACTGCCTCCGCCGTATTTTGCATGATGGACTTGGAAATTCCGTCACACTGCTGCTTGAAGTCAGCCTCTTTTACACGCCACGCAAAGTATGAGCTTTATTCACCAACAGCTATTTAGCCTCGCCTCGCAAACACGCTTTTCGTGTTGCTCTCGTGATGAGGCATCATTCTCACTGTCTATTGTGAGCATTTTGTAATTAGGTATCACCTCTCTGACATCGTCATATCTCTGCTCAGTTTCCGCAATCCGTTCCTCCATGCCGTCATCTGTGTCTACGTGCAGGACCACTTGCTTACTGCACACGACATCGTATGCAGTCTTTAAATCTGACATAAGTAAACCAATGAGTTCTAATGACTTGCTCTGGTAAACTGCCGTACCGATGGAATCCAGATCCTGGGGGATCTTTCCTTGGCAACGCTCCCCCTTTTATCTACTTCAGTATAGGGCCATCTCGTTGAAGAAGGATCACAGGTGGGGGTGCATAATAAACGAGATAAAGACTACTCCCAAGTTAATGCGATCACTGTACCACACAATCCTAGGTCACGGTCTACGCTGACTGTGCTCCGATGACACAGTACTTCGAATGTAAAGATTTAGCCTGTGTCACACACTTTAAACCGACAGCTTTAGTTTATACGGATAATTCAGCGAATCACAAGGAAAAATAACTCTCTCTTCCTTCAGTTTTGAAATCACATAGAAAGTGTACATGTGGCAAGAAAGTCTAGTGACCTCTCTCTCTTTCTAGAAAAGTATGGGTGTGTGTGCGTGTGGGATCTAACCGTAATTACATGTACTTATGCACTGAATGACCACTGGGGCGCCGTTTTCAGTGATACAACAGACCTTTTCACTAATAAATTCATAATATTATGCACGCATGAGCGCAAATGGCCTTGGCGGCAAGAAGTGTGAGCGGGCCATTGAAAATATACAGGGGTGCGACTTCGATGATAATTTTTCTCTTAGGTTTTATGACTTTGTTCATTTTTATTATAAACTAATAGCAAACCAATATCAAGAGAGGCTCCTTTGGTCAGAACTGCGCTTCGCTGGTTCACAAACGACAATGAAATGCACGCATTACTGTCGCGTCGCTACCAGCAAAACGAACACTCCCGACCAACATGGCTCTTTTCAACCGGTGAGGGGGTGCTTCTGCTCAAGGTTAGGAGCTATACCCCTGGTAATTCTTTGCCTGCCTGCAATGCGTGTGTGTTACCCGAAATGTGCAGCCCTTCATGCGATGTAAATTACGTTAAAGAAATTACGTATATATGGGCAGACTGCCTATCCGTACTTTGGTCAAATTGTCATCGGTTTATGATGAGTTGTTCCCTGGCCCGTCCAGTCAGCTTAGCGGCAACTAAATGACAAGAAAATACCTATGTGCTTCTCTAGCAGCCGCAACGTGATGAAATATACAGGTTGGTTATTTAATAATGATGAAAGCTATTGTTGGAAACGGTGGCGGGGAAAGTTCACTTTGTTGGAAGTTTAGGTCGGGGAATTTAGTAAGGAAATTTTAGAAGATGACATTACCTGAACCTACTTCCTTGTTGCTTATTTGGTTATTCACCGGAAGAAAACAGCCAGGATCGACAGAATAGGGACGGGGGGAACACAAGAAAGGAAAGCCGCTTCGGAACTTTGCACTGTATAGGTCTTTGCTCGTTGCAGATCCTTGGGTACGATGATAATAAACGCCTATCCATAAACACGTTTTTATCAATGCGCGTCGTTGTCCGTTCGGGGAAGTGGTGGAGAGTCCGCGGGCAACTGTCACGCGCATACGGAACGACGCCCATTTCAGACACGACCTGAATTTATAAAGTTCATTAAAACCAAAAGTGAGATAGAAGCCCACTGTGACCAGGGGAAAAAATGTTGAGGTGTGGTCCTGTGAAGCTTCCGTGCGTTGCAAAGAAAGGCACTCACTCCCTGTAGATAGTTCAATTCGTTTTCGGACTCATTGAAACGAATACAGCTAATAGAACCGATTGAGAGGTACTACGTAAGGGAGATTTAGCGGATTAAGTTAAGCGGATTTAGCGTACACTGAAACGTCGGTCTTAGCCAACAGTGGATTGAATATTTTCGGCGCCTGTGGAGACTTGCTCTTTCTCGAATCTCTGAGAATTTTGACAATCCTTTTTCTGTCCATCAGCATCAAGAATCCGTCGTTTTAGCCATACAGTCCTCGTCAAAATGTTGAGCATGATTGGAGCAGTCATCTCGGGTACTGGTCTTCTAAGCAGTGTGCCGTCCCTGTTACTGGTGGGGCTGGCTATCGGAGTTGCAATTGTCGGTATCCTCGGTATCAACCGGCCGGCAGGTTTTCCGCCTGGACCCACTCCGATTCCATTTGTAGGAAGTGAGTACAAGCTGTGTTATCTATACAGATAAACTATACCCCTTTATGTTATCATTTAGCTATGCGTATATATTGGGTTTTTACCCTTAGGGCCGTAAAGAAGGGTATTTTTGTATGGATGATGACTCTTATGATGTCCCGACATTACAGCATTTGTTGATTCCAATCGTACGAATTCCTCTTAACATGAGCATGCCAAAGTGCACGGTGAACTCTATACATTGTATAGTGAAAAGGGGACGGAAGAAAAACATTGCCCAAAAAAACATTATCATATACATTCAAACTGAATTTTAAGGAAACTAGAAATTTGGGAGGGGGGCGGATGAATTCCTACGCAACTGTTAAATCATTCAGTGTTTTTGAATTAAAGATATTCCTAAATCTGGCCAGCCCCTTTGGATAACTGTGGGAGAACTAAGCAAGGAATACGGAGACGTCTTCTCCTTAAAGCTTGGAGATAAATGGTACGTGATTCTGAACAGCTACGAGACCATCAAGGATGGTATGGCAGCACGGCCCTTGGCGCTCGCCAACAGACCTCATTACTACACCAGTAAGTGAATGGCTTTTAGCACAAGGATTGGGATGAGAACACTGCCTAGTTCATAAAAGCTGCAAAGGGAAAGTGAGACCGAAATAAAATGTTTGGCAAAGATAAACAGACGAAAGATACACAATCTATCGATCATTAATATTTTCTTTTGTTCGTAACCGGTCATTAACCATGAACAGTACAATCTCCAAGATTTGAGTACCGCATCATGTTGTCTGTGTGTTCAGGAAGACAGCATCTGAATGCGTAAAATTAACCGTGAAGCAAGCTGATATAATGCATTTTCATGGGCCTAAACCAACCTGTCTAATCTCTTTTTCTAGCCGATATCTTCTCTGACAACTACAGAGATATTGCCTACACAGACTACAGCCCATCATGGGTGCTGCACCGACAATTCGCGCTCAACGCTTTCAGGTAAAAATAAAAAGAATAGGGAATGATCTTCCGAGAAGCTTGTGGTTTAATCTGATGGACTAATCGACAATGCGATGCTGGTAACAGGAAAAGGCCAGGAAGAGTCAGTTAATACTGCGTGATACTTCAAGTTTTATAACTGTCTAAATATCATCACTCACTATTGAATCTCCCTAGATCCATCAGTTTCTGATCTTTTCTATAATCTCAAAATTTGCTGGCCACACGCAACTAATGACAGCACTATAATACACGTGCAAGTAATTATTATTGTGCTAAACTCATCTCACGCTGAAATCTTGAAATCAAATGAATAACCTATAATGAATTACATCTTCCCAACTTTGCTGAAGTGGAGCCTTTGAAACAAAACTGGGATTGATTTTCCCTTTGTGTCATTTGTGAAGCGACGTGTATGGTGCGACACAGCTTGACCGTGTGGCCCACCAGCAGTTTACAAGATACGTGGAGCCACTGTTGGAATCTGTTAGAGGGACGAAGCAGTCGGTGGACGGGATTGCACTGGGCCAGTTGATGGCCATGGGATCTGTGGTTACTTGGTGTTTTGGCCCTTGGTGAGAAGTTGGTTCTAGTTGGTCAGTTAAGGATAGAAAAGCATTTTTAAGTGTTGATTCAGACTTTTCTTGAAAAAACTCTCACAAACAGCCGTATTCAAGCCACCTTAAATCAACGCAAAATGTGCAATGTTCTCAGGTATAATGAGAAGTGAATCAATACATTAACTTTTCTAATCAAAAATAATATTCATCAGTCAAATTTTATGATTATTGCTCTATATTTAAAGTTTAGGTGATAAGCTTATGGTGCGGGAAGAATAAAATAACTGAAAAGAAATTTCTCTCACTTAATTGTGTGACTTTCGGGTTTCAATTAGCAATGAGCACCTCCATCGGGACTTGGTTAAAGTCGTCTCCGTGGACGTGAGTACATACCTAGTTGGCCAACGCATCCCCGTGGATATTTTTCCAATTCTCCGCTACTTTCCCCTATCAACAAATCGCATTGTCAAAGACGTTGGAGACAGATTCCTGACGATTCTGAGGGATGAGTTCAACAGTCGGCGTCAGTCATTTAAGGAAGGTATGGACGGTATGGAAGGTACCCGCACTACTTTCACATAAAAGTATACGCAATTAAGGGAGGGAACAGTGCATACGCAGACTCTATCGTTTGCATCTGTTATGTTAATTATACAGCCTAGGCCTATCATCTTCTGAACTTCTGAAATTCAGAGCTCGTTTCTTTGGATAAAAGAACTATGTGTGCTACTAAAAAACTATGCGTGCCCGAGGGTGTTCTAAACGTCATATCCCATATCACCGCAGTCAACAGTTGTTAATCATAAAAACAAACGAATCTACGGAGACGTCATTTATACAGTGGCACCGTTAACAAGCATTCTTGTGACGTGCGTGTGTAGTTCATTGGCAATTGTCACAGTACCTGATTTCTTCGAAGAGCCGCTCCCACCACCTGTCCACGAGCAACATTGTACCACCGTATAGCAATGGCTTCTAATCCGTGTTTCCAAGTTACACTAGTACGTTATGTGGTATCTCATAGACGAAGAGATAACTGATCTGTGTGGTGCACTGCTCCGAGCCCAAAAGAAAGCTGAGCAGGAGAGAAAGTACGACTTTCTGACTGATGTGCATGTCGTCCAGGTTCTGGCTTCGTCTTTCAGGGGTAAGCCAACTTGATAACTACTTTTTTAAGGAATGGGAAACTTTAACGAGGGAGTATAAGGTTTTAAGGATGGAAAAATAGGCAGTTGCTATCGACCGATCAACAGTCATGGTTTAATTTCTCAACATATTATACTGGTTACGTGGTCAGTTTTGTTGACTGCGTCGTACAAATTGAAGTGGGGAAGCATGTCATACATATCCAAGACGATTCTTTCCGATCTGTATGCATGAACTTGTCGGTATGCTTATTTCCATCACACAAAAATCAGTAATTTCACATGTATACAGTTCACAAGAAATTTTTTACACTCATGTGTTCAAAATTTCAATGCAAATTTTCAACTTCCAATTTAGCCTATTAATATGCCTCTGCAAATATGAAATTTGGGTGCTAACTTCTTGGATCCAAAGCAGTCTCACTTTACAATAGTTAGCAACCAAACTCACTTCCAATATTTGAAATGATTTCAAATATCAATCATAAGTCTAGATTAATCACTCAGATTAACTTACAACTATTTCCTGAATTCAGTTCAATTTCTTCATATTTGCAGAAGTCAGTTAATTTTGGACCTGTCATATCCGCTTCAAGTTATGTCAAGTCTTCATTTTTTGGTTAAAATTGCTACAATTTATATTTAGTAATTCACATTTTCAACTCCCGCATAGATGGAATTCAATTTATTATTTTTAATACCAGTTTGAACTCAAAATGTCTTTCTTAATTCTACATGATTTCAATAAAAAGGTTGTGAATTAGAAGTGACTTTACTAACAGTAGTTAACCTCAACTTTTTCAA